TGACTGGCAATGGACTATTGGCAATTGAGAGTACAGGAAAAGGTCATAATTTGGAAATCTGCGTTTTTACCCCTCAGTGCTCATTTAAAAAAAAAAACTCCGAGCTCAGTCTGAGCATGACGTCTGATGCCGAACCGTTCTATTGAGTCACGTCAGGCCTACTATTAGCGACAATCCTGTTAAGATCAGTACCATGAAAGTAAAGTTGTCTTGCAGACTTGTTCCTACTGGTGCATTCGGATTTTTTTAATGTGTATATCCTGCATAGCATGATGACCGCAACAACATTTGGCTGTATGTACACACAATGGACAATAGAAGTGTCACCCCTACTGAACCAATACTTTGGGGGAGCTAAATAACTGTGGAATGATATGCTCCTGGTATCATTTTATCAACATCAAATTTCACATAAAAAACACAAAATGTAGACCAGGCATTATAACTATTCAAGATCTGCCTACTTTGCTTATTGATTACTTGATTTTTATTTGATTACTCTGATTCAGGGGGTGTATAAAGAGAGAAACCAAATAGAGTACCACGAATACACAAATACTTGCACAGCGTGTGCACTATCTGCACCGATGTTTCTATTGCTTGTTTCCAACATTCGTCTAAACAAATTATACCTTAGAAATCGGAGCAAGGTAAAAATAAGAAAGGATAAGACACTTTTCAGGATATATACATGCATAAATATGACTTTGTGAAATTTTAAAACGGGTACCTTTAAAAGAACTTCTAAATACAAAACCTTGCAACATACATAAAGTCTATTACTTTTCTAAACGAACACATTAACCTTAGATAACAAAACTACTAACTTTTACTATTATAACTGCCTAGATAAAAGAAGCACAAGGAATGTCAGCATCAAAGTTGTCGTGGCAACCGCATCTCTTGTGGCTCTCCCTATCGGCGGGTTAACAGGCCATTTACAGATCTTTTCAAAATCGCATGCGTCTGCGACTTTTCCCACGCTATCCATCAGTATACTGACGTCGCACAATATGTCACTACATCCGGGTAACAGAGTTTCGCGCTCGTTCACATGGATTTTGAATTTGTGTGTGTCTTCACATTTGTAGATTACGAAGTTGATATTTGAGGCCATGGAATCAATGTAGCTGGTTCGAAGTTTTCTGTCTGCTCGAGAGTCATAGTTATCGGAGGTCGGGGCCTGGGCATCCTTGAACAGTCCAAGAGCAGAGTAGAATGGCACAATTGTGGCTGAATGAGCAAATCTAAACAGCCCATGAAGAAAGTTAGACCCGGTCGTTGTGTTCCTTAATAGATAAGATTGTGTACCATTTAAATTCATGTATCCGTATTCGTATTCGTAGCAGAAATCTAGATATACTACCATGCACAAATACAGAAACCAAAAACAGAAACTATCACTCAGTCACTTA